GGGGTGGGCGGGGCTCGGGAGGAGAGATGGACGTGATTGGGTGGGAGGAGGCGATGGGGGAGAGGGGCGGGCCCGGAGGGTGCAGAGACTGACACGATTGGGTGGGAAGAGACGATTGATAGAGGGGCGGGGCCTCGTGGCGAAGGATCGGAGCCGATTGGCCTGAGGGGGAATGGGTGGGGCTAAAGCCTCAAAAGGGGCTGGGTCTCTAATACTGCCCGAATTGGGAGGGCGGGGGCACAAATGAAGCCTGCTGATTGGACTCCGATGGGAGGGGAGTGGGGCGGGGCGTCAAAGGGTCGCTAAGGCTGTCTGGGCTGAGCCGAGAACGGAAAAAGCGAAGCAAGATACGCGAGAGAGACCTGAGAGAAGCGGGGTATAAAAGGGAAGCCAGGCTGACCGGGAAGTTTAGGGCCACGATGGGAGAAGCCGAGCGGATTGCACTAAGAAGTGACTCGAGGAGAAGAAGAGTTTGCACACCTGGACTTAAAGCCCTGGCAGGCAGGAGCCGGTATGGAGAGGCAGGTGGAGAGGGCGGAGTGAGGCTAACATTGGACGGATCGGAGCCGAGGACAGTAGAAACGGCCCTGATTGGGCTGGGACCGGGAGGGCGGGACTGAACCAGGGGCGGGAACTGTATAAGGAATGGGGCCAGGCCGAACTGAAAAGGGCCAAGGCGAAGGGAAAGAGACTGAGATGCGGTGAGAAAGGGGCAGACCTGAGGCCAAGGGAAGGCCCGAGGCTGCAAGCTAGCTAGGTCTGGCTACACCGGGCATGGCTGAGAGAAGGAGCGTCCCGAAGGATGGTGCGGGACGGAGGTGGATAGATGAGGAATGCCAAGAATCGAAAAAACGTCTGCAGTGGGCTGAGGGGGAGGGCGGAGGGCGAAAGGGGCGCTAGAGGGAAAAGTGAGCGCTAGGCGGAGGGCAGGGACGTGGTACAGAGAGATCCTGGGCCAGGGCCCTAACTAAGGGTCCGTGAGGCCTTCGGGGGCGGAGGGAGGACCAAGGGATGGGCAAGAACTGGTGAAAATTGAGCACGGAGGGAGGCGGAGAGAAGGGGGTGCAGCCAAAGCTCCCAAAGCGGATAACAGGCGGAACCAATGAAGAGTTGGGGAGGTCAGGTGTCAAAGAGACCAGGAGCGGGTTCCAGACGCGAGTTGGGGGCGGGGCCAGGACCGGGCGGCCCGCCTCCGAGCGGGAGCCCCGCCCCGGGGCGGTCCGAAGCTCTGGGAAGCAATGCGCAGGCGCAGGGGACCGGGCCAGCGGCTGCGCCGGGGGCTGCGGCGGGAGGCGGCGCCTGTGGGAGCGAAGGGGGCGGGTCAGCGCGCGCCCCGGCGCAAGGCTCGCTCCCCGGCTGCCGCCGCCCGCTGCAGGTGTGCGGCTGGTTTGTATCGTCTCTCACCCTACCCCTGCTCCCGTGCCTGTGTCTCTTGGTGTCCCTTTCCTCCCCATCTCTGAGGGTTTGTCTCCGCCTCTGTTCGCACCCCCATGAGTCTGCGTCCCTCTGTTCTAAGTCTCTGCCCTCCCGTGGGTCTCTGAACTTCCCTCCCTTCCTCTCTGTCCCTTTTCTCTCTAGGGCTGTCTCCCCTAGTCCGGCCCGTGACTTCATGCCCTCCCCCTAGTCTTTCTTGGGGGTCTCTAGGCCCCTCACTCTGCAGTCGCCTGTCTCCCACACCTCTGCCCCGCCTCGCCGCTGCCCTGTCATCCCGGCCTGGCTCCCCCTCCATAGACTGCTGCCCCTCCTGGGCATGTCTCCCCTTCGCTGCTTAGCCCCCCACGTGTGCCTTTCACCGCGGGGTGGTCTTCCTGTCCCGTAGTCGCTCTCTCTTGGATTCTCTGCCTCATTCTCGCCCAGGCTCTGCCTGTTCGCCTGGTCGCTGGCTCCTCGTGTTCTCTGCCGGCCTCGTCCCCTCCGCTTGCCTCTCTCCGGGGTACCGATCGCTGCTCTTTCCACCTGTCTACCTCCCTCTCGCTGGGTCTCTCATCCCTTTTTTTCTCTGCACCCTCCTCGAGTGTCCGTTTCCCACCTCTCTCCCTCTCTGACTGTATCTTTCTGGGTGTCCCCTATCTCTGGGCCTCTGTCCCCTTCTCTCAGGGCGCCCCGCCCCCCCCACCTTGGTCTAACCCCCATCCTGGCCGGGACTCCAGGCTGCGACACTGCGGAGAGTTGCAGAAGTGGGCCCGACCTGCAGGCCTCAAGGAGGCGGTGCCCTCATTCCCAGACCTTCCCAGGACCCCAATCCAGAGTCTGCGATCCTCAGGCATCCCTCAGACCTCTGATGGGACCCACCAGGACCGAGAAAAGACCCGGGCACCACCCCTCTGTGCCCCAAATTCTGGTGTGCCCCAGGCAGAAGCAGTCAGTCCTGAGGTGAGAGGCGGGAGAAGGGTGGATGAGGCTGCCAGGCTATTTGGGGGCGGGGTGGAGGCTGGAGCTGGGGCTGGGCTGGGAGTAGGGGCTGGGACAGGACCTGAGTCAGCCACTTTCCCTGCATCTCACATCCCACCCCCACCCCTGCTTTCCACTATTTAAGTGCAGACAGGCACGGGATCAAGTGACCAAATCAGCGTTTTCGCAGAGGTCAGAAGGTGTGGATAAAGGGGAGGTTTGGTGCGGAGGCCGGAGCTGGAAGGGATGAGATTTGGGATTGGAGCCCACGGAGGGAGGAGGCCCACAGCGGGGAGTAGTAATAGGACGGTCCAGACTTCCTGGGCCCTGGGAAGTTTGGACGCCATCACCCCTTATGGCCTTGCCAGACCTCACTGGGCTATGCCAGGGATCTGTGAGCCCGAAGTCTCCACCTGTCCCTTAGAGAGAGGGGGCTTTGGGAGACAAGATGAAGCCTGGGTTACGGGACAATGCCCAACTATGCTCACAGATGGGGGAAACAACGACTCCATGTTTGGCAATAGACACCAGGAGAGGAAAGGCGAATGCCTGTCCACTTCAAATCTTTCCCCAAACCTGCTCCTCCCAGTCTGTCCTTTCCTGGACACCTAAAGCACAGAAATCTTCAAAGCTGCGAACTCCCAGCTCCGTCATCTCCGGGATTCCGTTCCAGTCCTCCCTTCCCCCTTTCCCAGGGCCTGGCGATTGGGGATGGGTCTTCCCCGTCCCTGATTTCTAAGACCCCGTCCTTGTACTTCCACCTCTATTCTCATCCGTTCCAAATCCAGCAAAGGGAGTCTCACTAAAGGTGAAAATATGGGGACTCTCTGCCCAGGACGATTGGTCGCCCGAGACCCTCCAAATACCTCGGTGCACTAAAGCCTAGAAGCGTGGGGGATCGCTTCCCTGTCATTCGTGGATCCCATCTCCCAGTCCCCGCCTTCATAACTGGGATTCGGGTTGTCTTACGCCCGCGGACCTGAACCTCCGCCCCCTACCCCGTACTCACCCCTCGTCGAGGCGAGGCGGGGATGGGGGACTGGCGATGGGGGAAGGGGTGGCCCAGCCTCGGCGGCTCCGGGCACCGAGAGGCTGCGGAGGGGCAGTGACATCACCGCCAGAGGAGGGGCTGCCCCGCTCCCCCTAACCCGGGGGCTTCAAGCTCCGCCTTCATGGCGGACCCAGGGTCCTGAAATCCCAAAGGGAAAGAAGAGGAAGGGGAGATGAAAACAGCAGAAACGGTATCCCCTCTCCTTAGAACAAGGGTTGAGAAATCTTTCACCGATTTCAGCCACCATCCCCCCACTGCCACCTGTCGCTGTCGTCGCGACCTGTCGCCTCCCACGCTTGTTGTGACGGCGCCCGCCCGACCAAGGCGGGGAAACGGTCCGAACTACAACATCCGGCGTGCTCCGCGGGTCTGGCCCCTTTGCCGGGAGGCAGAGAGGGCCAGGGGCCTCATGGGATTCGTAGTACAAGATACAGCCCTCCCCGCTCCAATATTGTGCGCCCTGCAAAATAGCAACCTCCGAACACCGATTTTTTCCTTCCAAAAAGCATGCACTTGAGAGACCCAGGTAGATTCGTTCAATGGAAATCTCGGATATTTCTCTGGAAGCCAGATCTCCGCTGCCCCGTGGCGCGCAAGCTTCTAGAAGGAGCATCAGTCGGAGAACTGCGCCTGCGCGGCCCCGCCCCCTCCCGGCTCTGCACCCGGGACGCGAGCGCGCGCCAGCCCCACTCTGGGGCCGGTGCTTGCGCTCCCGCGGTCGAAGACCGCTACGTAGGCCCCTAAGAAGACGTCGCCGAGGATCCAGAGGGGTCCTGCAGGCGGAGGCATATCCAAAGCCTGGAAGCCGGACAAGCAGAGTGGGAATCCGCCCCGAGAAATCTGCAAAGTATCAAGACAGGGCCATAGGGTGTCTGTTACGCCTGCCCTGGTCGGCTCGCGCCCAGCTCCTCCCTCTCAGACCCAGGTCGCGCCGTGTCACTCTGACGTCATCGTGACGGTCACTCACCTGGATGACGTAGTCCTGGGCCGTGAGGTTAAACCAGAGCCCCCCAAGGCGGAAGGAGACTGGGGGTAGCGTTGGGATTTTCGAGCACTGAATGAAATGCTGGGGAGACAAGGAACAGGTATTTTACTTTCTTTTTTTTTTTGGTACCGGGAATCGAACTCAGGACCTTGCGCTTGCCAGGCAAGCGCTTGTGCCGCTGAGCTATATCCCTGGCCTGAGGAACAGGTAAAGATGGGCAATTCTTTTTTTTGTTGTTCTTGTTATTGTTTATTCTTTTTCCCGGTACCGGGAATCGAACTCACGACCTTGCTCTTACCAGGCAGGTGCTGAGCTAAATCCCCAGCCCCAAGATAGGCAATTCTTGCTCTATTCAAATCCCTCACCCAGCTCCCTGGTGCCATAAAGCAGTGTCGGCTTTGCACAGCTAAATATCCAGGCCTTGTGTGGACAGGCTTGCTACCCAGGCGTCCGTCACCCAGGCCTAAATCAACCTGCCTTCTCAACCCCTCCCCAGCCACCCCTGAGTCCCTCAGGCGGGTGATCATGGGAGGTGACCTTGCTTCCACCATGCTCCAGCCCCCTCACTCACAGGCCCAGGTCCTGTCAGCTCTGGGGTATTTCATGGCTACCTGCTTCCCACGCTGCAGACCCAGAACCCTTCCCACTGCCTGCCGTCAAACTCCCATCTGCCTCCCCAGCCCACCCCCACCAGACATGCGTCCTTACCTCGCCAGCCAGCCAGGGGAGGCCTCCGATGGCCCTGTGCAGGGCCCGGATCTCCTCGGAGGGTCCTGTGATGAGAGACGTGCCCGTGTCTAGGATGGCAGCACAGCCCTGGGCACAGAGAGTCAACCCCGTGCCCACCAGCACTCTGCGGGGGGGAAGGTAGTCGTTAGAGGTAGCGCCCTAGGGCTCCAGAGCCCCGGACCCGGCCTCCGACCTGGGCGGCCACGCGCTCACCGCTCCATGTGGATCTGCCAGTAGGCGGGGATGGTGACCGGCAGGAAGGTGAGGGGCGGGATGTAGTGAGCCGGATCGGAGCCCCCCAGGACCAGTTCGCCTCCATCAACTCCTGCCAAGTCCCTGCAGAGGCAGAGTGCTGTAGGTGCCGGAGGCATTTCCCTGCCAGCCCAGCGGTGACCAGGGATGGGACGTCGTGCCAACTGGGCGCTTTCTCAGTACTAGCCGGGGTGGTGGAATGTGGGGCTGGGAGCAAGACAGGAAGAGTAATGCTGCGCTCTCCCCGTCTCTTCCTCTCCTCTCCCCTCTTCTCTCTCTCATTTCTCCCACCCTCTCTCCCCAGCCCTTTTGTCATTATTTTATTTTGAGACTGGGTCTCAAGGAAGTTGCCCAAGCTGGCCTTGACCTAAAGAGCTGGGATTACAGGCCTGTGCCACCATGCCCAGCTAAAGTGGTGACTCTCTTTAACACCATCAGGGGAGGACTTTAGTGTGTTTGGAGGCATCCTGAGGTGGGGACCTGAGGAGCAACCTCTGTATTTGCTGTGGAAGGTGGAACCTTCCAGGGGAGAGTTCCTGAGCTGAATGTCATCGGAACAAAGTGGAGCAGTGGGGGTTCTGGATCCCTGTGTGGCCAGAGGGAAAGGGCCTGGCGGCTTCCTGTAGGTGGTGAGAGTTTCAGACGTGTCTCCATGTCTAGAGAGGTATTAGGCTTCCGGAGTCGGCTGGGAGTGATGGGAGGAGGGGCGGGACTTCCTGGAAGGTATAGGAGGGCCGGATCTGCTAAAAGGAAGGCAGGACCGCCTGAGCGGGTGGGATGACAAGGTAACAGTATTTCTGACGAGGTGATGGACCGTCTTGGATGGTGAGTGAGCTTTTCTGAGCATAAGGGTGAAGTTCTTAAAAGGCAGGCAGCACCCTGGGTTACAGTGGGCAATTTGTGACTTCTGGTGAGTGTTCTTGAATTTGAGCTTGCTTAGGGTAAAAGAGGGTTCCCAAGTTGAGTATTTAGTTGGGTGGGGTGTGGAATTTCCTGTTCAGTTTTGAAATGAGCATTTTGAACTGAGGGTGAGTTTCTTTTGCGTGTCTCAAGTTGTCACTTAAGCTGTAGGGCTTCTGAGCGCATTCAGGTGCTCTTGTATCAGGCACGTGTTTTCCTGAATGGAGGGTGAAACTGCCTCTTTCGTGGAGGACTTCTTGAAAGGATGGTGGCCCTTGCTGCACTGGGTACTCCTGAAGGAGGGCAGAAGTCCTCCATGGGGCCAGGACTCAGGTAAAGAGACCCCCCCAGTACCTGTTGAGGTAGAAGGAGAAGACGGGCTTGTCCAGAAGCCCCTGCTCCACCAGGACATCCAGCGGGGGTGGAACTCCATCCACGGCCAGAATGGGAAAGCCAAGCCCAAATATCCCATCAAAGGAGGCAAAAGCAAAGACCAGGCTGGGCTCCCACAGAGCCTCCCCAAAAGTCACTGACACGTTGTTGATTCCGCCAATCTAGGAGTAGATTGAGGTGGGGCTGATTACAAGAAGACGTTGCCCAGACATCCCTGAGACTTCCCCGAATTGAGACCTAACTCCTAGACCGGAGGACATCAGGAAAGAACACTCGGCTAGAGAAGCCCCGCCCCCTTGCCAGAAGCCCCGCCCCTTTGTCAGGAGGCCCCGCCTCTCAAGCCCCTCCCTAAACCACCAGCGCTGGACCCTGGGGTCTTCTAAGCCGAAGTCACGCACAGTCAGCTCGTCCTGGCTCAGAATCCCGCTCAGCCGCCCAGTCCCGTATTGAATGGCGAACTTGGTCCCATTGGGCCGGAAGGAGCTGGAGGCTTTGGGATTGTAACGGTGGTGGAACCCTAGCGGAGAGGAGGGGGGCGTCACAGGGAGGCGGGAGTCTCCCCCGTGCCTTCGGCCCCCTTCACCTGCTTGGCGGTGAGGGAGTCGGAAGAGGACGGTCTCCCAAAAGAACCCGGGAGCTGAGGCCCGCGCCCCTGCATCCCCAGCGGCTCACAGCAGGGCAGACTGAAGAAGTGGCATCTCTTGGATGGGATCCAGAGGTTGGAGGAGCCGGTGTCAAAGACCACGGAGAAGTTTTGTGGGGGCGTTCCCAGCCCGATTTCCCCAAAGTACTGCACCTGGTAGCGAAGGAGACGGAATCAAGAGTCTGCTCTGGGGCAGCGGGGTGGGGCCATGCGGGGCGGAGACTCACGTTCAGGAACTTGGAGAGCGGCACGAAGAAGGGGCCGTCCCCGTGGGGCGGGACCCCCAGCCCGGGAGGCTCCGCCGGCTCTCCCCAGGCCCGCAGTGGGTTCGGGATGCCGTGCGGCCGGTGGACTCGGCGAAGCGGGACCCTGAGAGACGGGTGCTGACAGTTAGGAAGCCGCCCTCCCCGGGGACCTCCTCTCACGCAGTCCCAACGAGCACACGAGGGCAGATGGGAGGCCTCTGAGCCCGTGCGACGCAGCGATGACCGAAATCTCTACAGTAACAACCTCCCAGGAACTTGTGAACCAAGGTGACAAGTATCCTGAGACTTCGCAAGCGCAAACTGTCCGGGACGGACCATCCCAAAGACGTGCCAATATCCAAATGCCTTAAAATAAGCCACCCCCAAGGAATTGGCGTTCTCAGAGGGTTCCAGAGACCCTCCCGAAAATTCAGCCCTTGCCGGACATCTAGGATGGTCGGCCCTTGTGTGCGTCCCTCATGGTGTTGGGGACTCCTCCCACCTTTGAGGAGCGGGGTAAGCGCCAAATCGCGACTTCGCTTTTTTGTGTGTGACCTCACTCTTTACACTAAAATACATCCATTGCATATGTATTAAAGATTTCACATGAAATGTAAAATTATAAGAGTACTGGAAGCAAGTGAGATGGTCAAATAATACTGGGAAGAGGGAGACACTCTCAGCATAGTGACCAAGGAGATATTTAACCAAGTTAGCCAGGAAACTTAACCAAGAGGGGAAAAAAAATTGTTGAGACAGGGTCTCAGTATGCAGTTCTGGCTGGCCCTGAGCTCACTTTGTAGCCCAGGCTGGTCTCGAACTCCCAACAATCCTCCTGCCTCAGCCTCCCCAGTGCTGGGATTACAGATGTACACCACCACACCTGGCCCAAGGGGAAAATATTGATGAGTGAGAAGCTAAAAATTTAAACTTCTCTACTCCCCCCCAACACACAGAGCTGTAAATAAAAGGACAAAAAATTGTGAAGCCAGGCTGGGAGGATGAGGCAGGAGAATCACAAGTTAAATTATCCAGGAACTCATCCTGGGTAATTTAGTAACTTCGTAAGATACTGTCTTAAATATTTTTTTTTTTTAAAGGGCTGGGGATGTAGTTCAGTGCAAAGGCTCTGGGTTCAGTATGTAATTATACATTGTGATCATACAGTTACTATTCCTGACATTCAGAGTAACAAATAAATGAGAATTGGATAATCCAGTGTTGTGAGACATCCCCCATCCGTCTGTTAACATTTCTGCAAAGGCAGAGGCTGCCCGTGTCCCAGTGATCTTCTCAAGGCCTTTGTCATGGGAGGAGTCCTGGGAGATGGGTAGTGTCTCCCTTTGGAGCAAAGGGCAAACAGGTTCTGGTCCATTGCACGCCTGTAATCCGGCACTCTGGGAGGTTAAAGCAAGAGAACTGCAAGTTTGAGCCTGAATTGCAATTTAGCAAATTAGTAAGGCCCTGTCTTAAAATTAAAAAAAAACAAAAACAAAAACAAAAAAACGGGATGGTGTGAAATGTCCTCCGTTCAATCTGTAGTACCACTAAATAATAATGATAACAACAACAGTAATAATAATAAGCAATCTGAGGTCCCTAAACTCAAGAATTCCTCTCCTATAATGCCTTCTCTGCAGGTAAAGGCACCATCTGGGCCTCTTCTGTCCCGTGCAGATGGGCTGAGAAATAGGACATAAATGCTGTTACCATTGTGAATACTGTTGCTGGGAATAACAACCTGCCCTTTGTCTCTGACCTGGAGATCTCACATCTTCTTTGAGCAGCCGTGAAACCGGGGAAGTTACCTTCACAATTCTTGACACTCAGAGGAGAATGGGCAAAGGACAAGAGCAGGTAGTTGGCGAAAGAGACACAAAGTTTCTAAACACATTCAGGATGCTCCCCAGGCATGGGGGCGCATGCCGGTAATCCCAGCACGTGGGAGGCTGAGGCAGGAAGATCTTTGTGAGTTTGAGACCAGCCTGGGCTACAAAGTGAGCTCAAGGCCAGCCTGAACTGCATAGCGAAAACTTGTCTCAAACAAACAAACAAACAAACAACAACAACAAAAAGGATGCTCTACCCCAACAGTCATCAAAAGTGATACAAATGACAGGGGCAAGAAACCTTGCTTTACCCTGCAAACTGGCAAAGAGCTGAAAACACCCAACATGAAAGAGGGGGCATAGATTAGTACAAACTTGCCTTGGAAGATAATTTTGCAAATATGTGTCCAATACCTGAAAATAATACACAGCTTTTTTTGTAGTGCTGAGAATGGAACACATGCTAATCACAGGTCTACCATTAAGCTACACTCCTAACCCACACCTTTACTTTTAATTGCAAATTTAATTTTTCTCAGTCCTGTGATTGGGTAATTCTTTCATTGCCTCCCAGGTAAGTCATTAAGAGTAGATATCCATCTTGCAGGGTGCAGTGCCACATGCCTGTAAACTCAGAAGGCTGAGGCAGGAGGATTGCTGCGAGTTCTAGGTCAGCCTGAACTACACAGTGAGACCCTTTCTCAAAAAAAAAAAAAAAAAAAAAATCCGAGGGTGTGGTTCAGTGTGAAAGCCTTGGGTTCAATACCCAGTACAGCAAAATGGGGAGGAGCTAGGGGGTTCTGTATGTAAATATTCTTTTTTTCTTTTTAATGATAAAGCGACACTGGAGACTAACAGGGGTTACTAGAAACTTCCAAGAACTCTGTCTGCACCACTCAAAAGGAGGAAAACAACAAGAAGCCACGTGTGGTGACTCTGGCCTGTAATCCCAGCACTCTGGGAGGCTGAGACACGAGGATCACAATTTAATCCCAGCCTGCGAAATTCAGCAATTTAGTGAGACCGTCTCAAAATTTAAAAGAAACAGTGGATGGGGATGTAGGTCAGCACAAAGGCTTTGTTATCAATGTCCAGTATCAAAAAGGAAAGAGAGAAAAAGAAGTAGCTATGCCAGGGGTGCGGTCTCAAAACCTGAGCGCGAGGGCTGGGGATATAGCTCAGTGGCCTAAGTGCCTGCCTGGCAAGCACAAGGTCCGGAGTTCGACTCCCAGTGCCAAAAAAACCCAAACCAAAACAAAAAAACACCTGCGCACGAGGCCGAACCACTTTGCGGAGTGCAGCGCAAAGCTTTCTTAAAGACTTCGCAGGTCCTGCAGTCTCCTTCGCCTCTGAACTTTGTCAGTGAGGCTCCGGAGCAGCCCAGGACAACACGCAAAGGACCAAGCCGGGCTGGGCGCGCGTTTATCCGCAGGAACGGGTGGCACCTGCATGCGGAGAGGGTTCCAGCAGGGGGCGCTAGCAGTTCCTGTCAGGCTGAAGCCTTTGGACCTGGGGCTAAGTTTCAAGACCCGCGGCTCCTGGCGCTGACTTGGAAATTACCGAGGACCTAGCAGGTCGGCGTGCACGGCGGGGTGAGGGAATAGTTTTTGGGTTCCGCCCCGCCCCTCCCGCGGGCCTCTCCCCTCCCCCCCGCCTCAGTCTTGAGAGGCTAAGAATGTGAAGTGGGGAAAACGCTTCCTGGAGGACCCCTCCCCCTTCAGGGGCACAGGCCTGTGATTCCAGCTCCGTGGGAGGCTGAGGCAAGAGGATCGCAAGCCTGAGTCCCCCCGGGGCAATGTAGCGAGACTCTGTCTTCAAATAAGAATTAAAAAGGGGATGTAGGGTCGGGGATATAGCTCAGTGGTGTAAGTGTCTGCGTGGTAAGCGCAAGGTCCTGAGTTCAATTCCCGGTACCACAAAAAAAGGTGAGGCGGGGGATGTAGCTCAGTAATTGATACTGCTTAGATAATGCTTTGTTCCCTGTGCGTGTGTGTGTGTGTGTGTGTGCGCGTGCGTCGGGGGGCGGGGGACCCTAGTGTTTTGGAGAGTATAAATCAGCTGCAGGAGTACTGGTTTAAGCGTCACGGATCTGGATATCCGAGAAGTGGAGTAGGGTTCACTTGGCCAGAGACCCCAAAACCAGATCATCAGAAATTCAGGGTGGGGCCCTAAAAATGTGTCATGGGGAGGGAGGGGTCTCCAGTCTTGGGTTTCAGCACTGAGGGATGTTGGAATTAAAAGTACAGCCATAACCCGGATGGGGCTTACGCCTGGGATCCCAGCTACAGGGGAGGCTGAGGCCGGAGGATTGCAAATTCAAGGCCACCCGGGCAACTTAATGAGACCTGTCTCTAAATAAAAAATAAAAGTCTGGAGATGTGGCTCAGTGGTAGAGCGCCCCTGGGTCCTATCAACACACGCGCACACACACACACGCACACACACACATTCAGACGCAGGCGCGCGCACACACACAGAGTTCAGGACTCCCCATAGACCGCACGGAACCCCTCAGGGGTGAGGTCCTAGCTTAGAGATCTGGGCCGGAAGAGAGAGGAGGCAGGATCCCGGGGTGCGGGGTCCGGGGTTTACAGTATTGAAGCGAGACCCGGACTTCAAGAGCGAGAGGCGCAGAGCCTTTCTCAGGGCCGAGGTGACCGCGGGGTCCCCATACCGGATCAGGGTGGCCCCCGAGGGCTCCGCGGTGAGCAGGGTCAGCAGCAGCGGCCACAGCGGTAGCGGCGACATCTCTGTGGGCCCAGGCTCCCCGGGGCCCTTTCCCCACCCCCGGACTCCGCCCTGCCCACGCCCAGTCCCGGCTTCAGGGTGACATGGGGAGTGGGGAGGACGACGTCCTGGGAGCCGCGCGCTCAGTGTTTTTGGAGGATCCCCAGGAGCTTCCGCGGGGGTCCCGGGCTCCGCGCCCCGCGTTCGTGGGGCCGGGGTGGAGATAGCGTGAGTCTCCGGCCCCACCCCTTCCTTTAATCTCCATCGCTTTTAACTTTCACACCACTTTCTTTTTTTTTTCACACCACTTTTCTGAGACTCATTAACCACAAGTTCTCTTCGCGCTGGAGCCGGGGTTGGGAAGGCCCTGGGGGAAGGGAGAGGACGCTGTGTGGGTGGCCGTGCTGGGCGCGCGCGGGGGAGGGGGGGGTTGGGGGGTAACTTCTTTTTCTCCGGGTACTGGGCGTTGAACCCAGGGCCTTCTCACTGAGCTGCCTGCTCAGCCCTTTTTATATTTTGAGACAGGGTCTGGCTATGTTGCCCAGGCTGGCCTTGAACTCCTGAGCTCAAGGGATCCTCCTGCCTCAGCCTTTGAAGTACCTGGAACTATACGTGTCTACCGGTCTGCTGGGCCAGGACCTCTGACGGAAGCACAAATGCATACATACCCTAATCCCACCAGCATCCAGAAAATGTGAAAATAATTCCTAGTGTCACTGTCCCTTGATGTGCCTGTCCCCTTCTTTCTGATTAAGCGACTCAGATATTAACATGTGTTGGAGATCTAGTTGGGAGCTGGGCATAGTGGCCCATGCCTGTAATCCCTGCAAATGGGAGGCTGAAGCAGGAGAATCTCTGTAAGTTTGAGGCCAGGCTGAGCTCCATAGTGAGTGTGTGTCAATTCTGCAATTAACATATCTTGCTGAATTTTGTTCCTGCCACAGCCACCCATGTTTCTGTCCTTCAGCAACATACTGTTTTTATCCAAAGGGTAAAACCGTGCTTTTTCCTTGTTATTCGAACATCCTGGGGGGTTGGGGATATAGCTCAGCGGCACAACCGCCTGGCTGGCAAGCTCAAGGTCCTGAGTTCGATTCCCGGTACCACAAAAAAAAAAAAAAAAAAATGACCTGTTCTCATCACTGATACTGCTGAGCAATTTTTTCCACTTGCACCTCTTTCCTCTGGAATTTGTTTAATCTTTTGCACACACACACACACCCCACTACTCTTTAATGAATCATAAGTCTCTGCAAGATGATTTTTTTAAAAAGCTAGCCTTACCCTCCTCCTGCTATTTTTCTCCTCCCAAGAGATAGTAATTTTCACTTCCTTTTTGCTGGGGGCGGCTATTTTTGAGACAGTGTCTTGCTTTGTAGTTCACACTGGCCTGGACTCACTTTGTAGCCCAGGCTGGCCTCAAACTTACAATGATCCTCCTGCCTCAGCCTCCCCAGTGCTGAGATGACAGGCGGGTGCCAACACACCCAGCTACTTTCATTTCCTTTAGCGTCTACTTTTGGCCTTGTCACCAGTCTTGAGTAAGGTATTTGCATTAACACACACACACACACACACACACACACCGCACACCTCATGCTGGGGGTGAACCCAGGGCCTTCACACCGAGCTGCATCCCTAGCCCTTTTTATTTTTTGTTTTGAAACAGCATCTCAATAAGTTCCGCAGGCTGGTCTTGAACTTGTGATCCTCTTGCCTCAGCTTCCTGGGCAGCCTGCTTGTATTGCTATTTCTTGATTTGTCCATTTTATTAACTTTGACCTTTGGCTTCCCACTTGGGAAAATAAGGAATTAACTCTCTCGTCCTCTGCCCACACGTGTAACATCAACCCCTCCCCCACCTCTGCGTTGTAATTGTAGTACCTGTGGTCCGATCACCACACTGCAGCAAGGAAATGCATATGAAAACCGCGGTGTGGGAGCTGGGTGTGGTGGCGCAAGCCTGTCATCCCAGCACTCTGCAGGCTGAGGCAGGAGGAGGGCAGCCTGGGCTGCGGGATGGGGAGGCTCTGATCAGGATGGAGCGGAGGAGTGGCCTTTTGCAGGTCACAGATGGCTGGGGAACTTGGAAAGGCCCTGTGCCCAGCTCTACCCCCTCCTGAGGTCGCCCCATACCCCATCAGCTCCTCCAGGTCCATGTGCTGTCCCTCTGCTCCTCACCGCTCCTACTTCAGGACCTTGGCACTGGCTGGCTTGCCTCACACTGGCTGTGCTGAAAACTTTGCTTGCTTCTTATTTTTATTTATTTATTTATTTGAGTCAGGGTCTCACTCTGTGGTCCAGGATGGCCTTGAACTTGTGGGATCCTCCTGCCTCAGCCTCCTGAGTGGTGCTGGGATTATAGGCATGTGCCACCACGCTGGGCTGAAAAAGCTCTGCAGCATCCCTTTGCTGGGCAATTCCTTGGACACCGTAGATCTCGTACTAACCCTCCCCACCTGGCTGTTTGAGGGGCCTGAACCCTGGGTCTGGGCCTCTCAAATGTGCTCGAGTTGCAAGCCTGCAAATTACCATCCGGCCACACGGGGGCACACTGAGTCTATTTCCCCCAGCCTCTCGGGCCGGTTCCCGGGCTGAACTCGGAGAACCGCGCTGTTTCCTTCAGGCGTCCGCTTGTGCCTCAAGGTTCCCATGGCTTGAAATGCGCCTCGCTCGCTGCCTTCCTCCCAGCACTCTGGGAAGCTGAGGCAGGAGGATCTCAACTTTGAGCCCAACTAGGGCAACATAGCGAGAACTTGTCTCAAAGTAAAAATAAAAATAAAATGAAAAAGGGCTGAGGATGTAGCCCTGGATTTAGTCTCCAATGCTGCAAAAACAAAGAAATACATTTAATTTTTAAAAAATGACTAAAGTAGCCTAAGATAATTTCAGCGCTCCATCTCCAACATTCCAGCTCTTCACAGTCACGACGTTCCAGGCAGCCAAGGACCTCAGGAAGGGCAAGGGGGTTTTCAAGTCCAAAGCCAGGGGGAACAACTAAGTGAGATCCCTGGCAAAAATGAATAAATAATCGATTAATTTAAAGTAAAAGGCAGGGAGGTACCTCAGTTTGAGATCCTGGGCTCAATTCCCAGTACCACACAAAAATAAAAATACATAGTAATTCAGGTATGGCGGCACATGTGTATCATCCCTGTGCTCTGGGAGGCTGAGGCAGGAGGATTGCAAGTTTTTTTGCTTGTCTGTCCCTTGTGGGAACTTGGTGCACGTACATAACACATCTTAATTCCTTTTCTCATTCTCCTTCCCTTCTCTCCCTCCCTCTCCTTCCCTCCCTTGGTCCCCTTTTCCCTTGGGAAAAATCTGACTCCGTATGACCCAGTGATCCCACTCCAAGCTGTGCACCCGACAGAAGTGAGGGAGAGTTCACAAGACCTCTGTACACGGCCAACAAGGGAAACAGCCCAAGTGTTCATCGACTGATGAATGGTTAAAAGTTTAGTTGCAAACAGAAATGAAGTACTGACACATGCTACAACATAAGCA